TGTGCTGTTTGGTCATATCAGATCAGGTGGTGCCACAATTCCCACTGATTCAAGCCATATTCAAGCAGTTTAAATTCTACCCCAGTTCCTGTGGTTAGAGTTTCCATTCACCTGGTTCTAGGCCTGCAGAGACACTTTGAAAACGGGAAATGGTTTTTAGAAACACTAAAAACCATTAGTTTTTTAAGAAGTTCTTTAATTTTAAAAGAAATTTAGAAATAGATCTCTGAACCTGAAAGTCTACCTGCCATCAGTGATTCAAAAAAACTTCTGGTCATCTGGAAAAGCACTCAAATTCTCAGCACAAAATAAGAATATTTATTTACTTATTTAAGGCCTATTAGAATAACAAATAGTAAATAATGCTATTTGTTGGTTTTGTATCAAGTTTAGTCTAGAATGACTCATTTTGTCTCAAAAAATAATAAATTAAAGATTATTCCCTGCAGGTGAACTAAAGTCTTATGTCAGTAAGACATTTAAGCATATCTTTAAGTCAGTCTAGATTCAACAGATCCTCTTAAATACAACCCAGAAAATACAAATCCCTTTAGACAGACCGTCTTCTAGATTGGTTTATGCTTCTGAAGAGTCTGAATGATGAAGAAAGCCTACTGAAAGGCTTCTCAGCTGGAGAGAATTGTCCTGCTTCCACGGAAGGCAAGAAGCTCCCAGGCTTCGTACATCCTCACTCATCTATAGGTACAAAACTCTTTCCAGCTTCCACTGAGCTCACTGACAGTGCTGCAATTTATTTCATCGGGAGCAGGAGCCAACCAGAAATATGGTCAGTTTGATGAAAATGCAATGCACATGTTAAAATAAAGTAGGATCACATCTGCATTTTGTCTGCATGCTGAAGAGTAATGTGATTTTTTTGTGTTCTTCTGAAAAAAAAAAGAAAAAAAAAGTTTGTTCTTTCCAAAGGAAACTTGGCAGCAGCAAAAACTAGATGCAAAATTTAATGTTCTAAAATTTTAGGCCACCAACATAGATTTAACAGTCTAAAATGATATTCTTGCTCTGGGAGAGTTCCATACTGACTGATCCTTCAAATCCTGGGGGAAAAAAAGTCATCGAAATAAAATATTTCAAGTGCCAACTTGGAGCAAATTTCTGTAGCCAAACTATAAATGCAGATTTTTAGTAGGCAGGCAGACTTCCACTTTGCTAAAATCACAAATCATGGAAACAATAACTCTACCCCTACAGACAGACAGACTGACCGACCAACACCCGGAGAATGCATATCTCTCAAATACTTTTACATATTTGTCTCTGTAAGGGAAGAAACTATCACTCTTGAGGGGCATAGCCATAAGTGAATCATCAAGTATCTCTCTTGCATATGAAGATAGATGCCATATTTGACTGAAGGTGTGGCTTTTGTCTCTCATTCTCTCTCTCTCTGTCTGTGAGAGAATCTCATCTATAGCACAAATTTTTTCACCACTTCAGAATAAATGAGAATTAGAGAGATATACATATATGTGTATGTGAATATATAGTCGCTACTCATAGTGATAGTGATGCAACCACTATGTTCTAAATATAGATGAGAAAGTATGTAACCATTAAAAAAATATCTGTGAATACTTCTTGAATTATTATCTTTTTGTCTATGCAAAACCTTCTGCCATGGATGCTGTCATTCTTGCTATGTTAGTGCTAGTGGTTCAGCATGCTTGTTGGTTGGATCATTTCTATAGTACATCATATAACTGAAGTGGAACAGTGAATTTCAGAAATATACCTCAATTTATGGAGAAAAGAAATCTGGGAGAAACTGAGTACAGTCTGGGGAGTAGATTGTACCAATACAATCATAAAACCCAGAAAGAAAATCCAGAAATCAACAACACGTTCACCTTAGGTTATATGGGACTGTATTTTTATTTTATTTTATTTTTTTTTGCAATTTAGCAGCCGTGGCCTATTTTAAAAAGAACAGATTGGATCTGATGTAAAATAAATTGGATAGTTGTCTCCACATGCTCCAGATAATTTGAGAAGTCAGTCACACCTTCAGTTGCTTTCTTTTGGTTACTTTTTAAGAAACTCTTACTATCTTAATCCAGTGCAACTCCAATGAGAGCAACAAATTTTCTAAATTTGGGAACTCTTTTCCCATTTCCATGCATTTTTGATGTAGATGTTGTCTAGGCTTTCCACTTCATTCTTGTCTACTCCACTTTCCCTGGCCTGCTTATACATAATGCAGGGCATGCAATGATCGGAGCGCTTCAGCCCATGCTTAACTTCACTTGTGTCTGTAATTCTATGGGTGGGACTCACATACTTAAAGTTAGGTGCATTAGTAAATTATCTGGCTGAATGGAGACAGTAAACACTAAGAACAACTCTTTTAAGAAGAAATCAAATGTGCATCAAATACAAAGCATCATAGGGAGGCAAGTATAGGAGATAGAATGTGCAGGCTTTTAAGATGCCCAAATTTTAGGAATTCAGGTTAAGGTTTCCATGGTAATGCTATCTTCATCTACTTCCTTATGAACTTGGGCCTCTGCTGAGTTCCACCCACATAAGAGGACAGAATAGGGTCAAAGTTTTCAGTATATATCCAGGTAAATTGCAAGAGACATGACACTGTTCAACTTAACTCCAGTGTTTTGCATCCTGACATGTCGAAGTGTTAAGTGTTTCCTTTAATGTCCCTTTCTTTTCCTTAATGTTCATTTCTCAAAGGAAAACCTTGATTCAAGAGTGTGAATTGGGAAAAAAAGTAACATATTTTATGCAAGACATATTCTTTAATATAGGCAACATGAGCTCATTGTTAAGACCCAGTGAGCATAAAGGCAGCTTATGCTGCTTATGCTGCCTTTCTGCAGCAGGACAGCTCTGAGGATTGTGCAAGCAAACCTTCCTCCAGTTGATTTAATTTGGACCTAGTTACCCATGGCCCTAAGCATCACTGGAGAATGGTAGATCTCTGGGCCCTTTCTTGTCCTGTCTCATCTGCTAGTCCTCTGGTCAGAAGAACACAACCTGACAGACAATTCGAACTGCTGGAGTGGTACAAACAGGGTGCCATAATGGTGACAATTAAAACCACGAAGATCTTTAGTTCAAGGCAAAGTAAGTAAGCCTTTCTAACCATGTCACCCCACTCTGCATGCCGTTGTGATTTCTCATTTCCCCTACTACATGAAGCACGAGCTGCTTGCTTCCACTTTACAGCTTCTTTGTGGCCTCTCTCTGCTTACCCAACCTGGGGTTGTTTGCTCAGTTCCCAGCAGTTGGTGCCTGCCTCTGCTGGCTCTGATTGTGGGCATCCTTCATCTACTTGTTACATTTTCAAACAAGTCCCTTTGGATTCCCTTCTGTGCTTCTGGACTCACATATGGGGAAAATTTCCTATAAAAATCTGCAAAATCACTTCATTGTTCTCTGTCTTATTCCTCTCTAAAACTCTACCTACAAACAGTTTGAAATCACCCAGACTGCTGATGTGTTAATGCAACTACATGTTATACCAGTCAGTTTTGGTTTGTTGTTTCTTTATACTCCCTTACATCCTTTTATCCTACATCTGTGTCTTACTTTGATTATAAGGTCCTTGGAGCCAACATCTAATGTAATAAGATCTTAATCTATGGCTACTACAAACTCTGGGGTAGCAGAAACCATAAAAATTAATCAGGCAGTTGTGCAGGAAATGTGCATCATCATGAAATGGTATCAGCTGTGACAGTGTTGTCACAAAATGCAATCACTGCATAAGTACTGATCTCACTGACTGGTCAAAACTCTTCGACTTCAGTGAAACCCAGGATATTGCCCTCTGTCATTAAATCTTCAGATAGATACCTGGTTTTGAGTAATCTTTTTTATTCATCAGCAATGATCAGAAACCTCCTTCTTTGAAGTGATTTTGATAATAGCATTACCTGTTGGCCACTGTCTTATCCTATCTGGTCTTCATTCTCATTTCTCATCTACTTGTTCTGCAGTGCAGAATTATGTGTGTGTTTATATACTGCCAAAAATATTTATGACAGTTGTCAATATTTAATAATTATTGACAGTGAGAGTATTACATGAAGCACTTTGTGAGAATGAATCTATAAATTACAGAAGGTTACGCTGATGAATAACCAAAAGTGTTTTGCATTTTTCATCTTATCTCAAACAAAGCAAACAATCCTTTCAGAAATACTGCTGTACAATTCAAGCTGGCCAAACCCAGCTTTGGAGTCCAAAAATGCCCACTCATGTTTAGGCTGAATATTCAATATTTCCCACTCTTTGTTTCATAAATATAAATAACCATTTGGAGGAAAATTCTTCCTGGAAACATGCATATCTCAAGCTGAAAAAATAAGAAAGGTTTCTGAGAAGTGAGAAATGCTCTGTAATATGAACATGCTGCTTCTATTAACCCATTATTGGTGTTTGATTTTTTTGTTCATTTTACAAGAAGCTCAGAGTGCCCAGATTATGAGAATGTATCTTTCCTTTTTCTTCTCATTTCCTCTTTCTCTTTTTCCTCCAAAAGCTCAGAACTCAGCTAACATACCCTTGACATTATTTCAAAACACTCTTTGGCAGTCTCGTCGTAAGGGACAGGACTATTCTTTTCTGAAAGCAAAACTCACGGTCAATTATAAGATTGTAAGCTACGGCCCGTATTCCACTGGAAGCATCGGGCTTTCCCAGGTGGGAGAGTGGGTTCACAGAAAGTTCAATTGTTCACAACAAAACCGAAAAATGAAAAGGACCGAGAAAGAAGGAGTCTCCCCCCTCAACACACATACACCTCTCCCCACCGTGCCTCCCCCCTTGCCCCACGAGTATGCAGACTGCACCCCATGCACATTGGAAATGGACCCGGCGAGGCTCTTGGCGCGGCATGCACACGCGGAAGGGAAGGAAAGGGAAGGAAAGGGAAAGAAAGGAAAGGGAAGGGAGGGGGATGCCTTCGTACGGTCTGACCATCACCATAAAGAGTTAAAGAGAGAGTGAAATGGCTAACGTACACACACCCCGCTCCATACCGGAGAAGAGTCTCCCAGCTGAGGTTTATGCTCTGTGAGGACCAGGCTGAAACTGACCGCCCCCACGGCCACGCTGGACACCCCTAACCCTATCTCCAGCACGGAGAGCACCAGGAGGCTCCCGATGATCTGGCTGCTGGTGCACATCCTCCCTCGGTCATCCTTCCTTCCCGATCAGCCGGGGAAACCGCGCATCCTCCTTCTCCTCCGGCGCTCCCGCGGCCCTAAGTCGCCCCCAAACTTTTCTTC